AAGACATGCAAACTTGATTTTTTGCGAACACTGTGTTCTGGGAAAGAAAACGCGGGTGAAGTTTGGAAAAACAATCCATAACACTAAAGGCATTATGGATTACATTCACTCAGACATGTGGGGACCAACCAAGACAGCTTCTCTGGGAGGAAACCATTATTTTATAACGTTTGTTGATTACTTTTCCAGGAGAATATGGGTGTATTCTATGCGAACTAAAGACGAAGCTTTCAGCAAATTCCTCGATTGGAAGAAAATGATAGAGAACTAGACTGGGAGAAAGATTAAAGTGCTTTGATCCGACAATGGTACAGAATATCGAATTGACCTTTTTTCGATATTTGCAAGAAGGAAGGCATCTCCCGACATTTCACAGTTTGGGACACGCCACAACAAAATGGGGTGGCTAAGCGCATGAACCGGACCTTGCTGAAGAAAGTTTGGTGTATGATGTCCAATGCTAATTTGGGCAAATAATTATGGGCTGAGGCGGTCACATATGCAAGTCATTTGATCAATCGACTATCATCAGCTGCTCTTAAAGGCAAGACACCTTTGGAGGTATTGTTTGGAAAACCTGCAAATGATTATGATTCTTTACGTGTGTTTGGATCAATTGCATATTATCACATAAAAGAATCAAAACTGGATCCAAGAGCAAGAAAAGCTATTTACGTTGGGATATCGTCTATGATGCCCAAAGATGAGAAAAGTGATCATTAGCAGGGATGTTACCTTCAACGAATCAACAATGTTTAATAAAACAACCGAGCAACATATGGATGGTACTTCCCCGCAGGTGGAAAGTTCTCTCGAACATGTGGAGTTTCTGGCATCTATGATCAAACCAATAGATGGTCAACCAATGGAAGATGATGATCCATGTGCCACAAAAGAGCCTAGAGAAAAAGAGGTTTTAACCCAAAAACCTCAACAACAACAAGATTTACCAATTGCAGTTAGGAGGCCCATAAGAGAAATTCAAACACCTGCTCGATTTCAAAGTATGGTGGCCTATGCACTTCTTGTTATTGAAGAAGGTATACCACAAAATTTTCTTGATGTAGTGCATTCTTCTGAAAAGAAAAGTGGAAGAAAGCCGTGGACGAGGAAATGCATTCCTTTGATGCAAATCACACATGGAAGCTAACTGAGCTACCGAGGGGAAAGAAGGCAATTGGATGCAAGTGGGTTTATACTCAGAAAGAAGGATATCCCAATTGTAATGACATCCGCTACAAGGTAAGATTGGTAGCCAAAGGCTATGCCCAAAAGGAAAGAATTGATTACAATGAGGTATTCTCTCTTGTTGTAAAACATTCCTCTATTCGTATTATGTTGGCCTTGGTAGCGCAAGATAATTTGGAACTAGTTCAAATGGATGTAAAGATGGCGTTCTTACACGGTGATTTGGAGGAGGAAATCTACATGGTTCAACCCAAAGGATTTAAGGTTGTTGGAAAAGAAGATTGGGCATGCAAGTTAAGCAAATCGTTGTATGGATTGAAACAATCTCCAACGCAGTGGTACAGACGATTTGATCAATTTATGACCTGCCAAAAGTACGCCAGGAGCAGTTTCGATCACTGTGTATACTTTTGTAAGCTATCTGATGGATTATTTATTTATCTTCTTCTCTATGTAGATGACATGTTAATTGCTTCGAATGATAGATGAGAGATAAACAGGTTGAAGTCCAAACTCAACTAAGAGTTTGAAATGAAAGATCTTGGTGAAGCGAAGAAGATTCTCGGCATGGAAATAACGAGAGACAAAAAGAGAGGCACATTGTGCTTGACCCAGAAGCAATACTTAAAGAAATTACTACAGCGATTTGGCATGACCGACAAAACCAAACCTGTGAATACACCACTTGCCTCTCATTTCAAACTTAGCGCTTCACAATGTCCGAAAACGAAAGAGGAACATGATTGCATGTTAAAGGTTCCTTATTCAAATGTCGTTGGTAGCTTGATGTATGCGATAGTGTGTACGAGACCTGATATTTCACATGCAATTGGGATCATGAGCAGATATATGCATGATCTAGGAAAAGAAAACTGGCAAGCCGTGAAATGGATTCTAAGGTATATCTTGGATTAATGTTTCAAAAAAATGATGATACTAGTCAACATATAGTTGGGTACTGCGATTCAGACTATACAGGAGATTTGGATAAATGACGATCAACTACTGGTTATGTGTTTACTCTGTCAAACGCATCAGTTAGTTGGAAGTCGACCTTACAGTCTACTGTTGCTCTGTCAACAACAGAGGCAGAATACATGGTCATAACTGAGACTGTTAAAGAGGCAATCTGGTTAAAGGGATTACTAGATGTCTTTGGAATCCGTCACAAACACATTACGGTGTTTTGTGACAACCAAAGTGCTATTCACTTAGCAAAGAATCAAGTATATCATGCCAAAACAAAGCATATAGATGTACGGTACCATTTTGTGCGGGAAATAATTGAAGAATGTGGAGTCAAAGTACAAAAGATTAAGACCACTGAAAATCCTGCAGATATGTTGACAAAAGCTGTAACAAGTATCAAGTTCAAACTATTTTATGGCGGAAGAGTTTTGGAGAAGATATTTAAGATGGTATTTGAAGATCGCCAAAGGTGGAAATTTGTAAGAAAAGTCAACAATTGTTGGCTCCTTCCATCCGACATCGTTTGGGAGATTGGACGAGGGTGAAATTCATTCTATAAAATGATCCCTCACCCAATGTAACAAATCATCCCACAACGCAATCCTCTTCTTCTAATTGTGTTGTATTTTTTTATCTCCTCTTATGATATAATTTTGGTTGAAGTCCGAGGACGTAAGCATAATTTTGCCGAATCTCATTAAATTTGGTATTCTTTATTTTGCTCTGGTGTTTTAATTATTTTGCGGTTATTTATTGTGCTTTAACTTTTTTGGGAAAATTCTGTCAAAAAGATTATAAAAAGTCTAAGGAAATTGATTTTTAAGTGAGCCTAGTATCTCCTCCAATTACCTGAGAATTTTCTTTGATATTAATTGGGTACGATAATTCGCCGTTTGTGTAGGGCTAACCCGTATTTCCATATCATATAGTATTATTAAAAAAAAAATTAGTATGTATTTTTTACTCTAAAGTATTTTTTTTACATTATTATTAATTGAAATATAATTGTGTTTTTTTATTTAAAATATAATCAAATTTAATTTTGAAATCAAAATATAATTATATGAATAATCAGTCTTATTATTTAAAAATAAAAATTAATTTTAAAAAATGGATTCAGTGTAGCGGAGTACCGAAACAATGTAATAATAATATTGTTATGTGGACCGTCACAATTGTCGAAACAAGTTATGCAACAACGGCTACAGAAGACTTCGTTGCTAAAGACCTTGTAACGCGAGCTATGACTTGAGAAAAAATACAAATTTATAGGTGTTTGTTAAACAACTGTTTGATTGGTTTATCCTGTTTCAAATTAACTTTTTTATTTTATTTTTATTTATTTTTTATTTATTCTTAAAATTAATTTTTATTTTATTTTTTTATTTTTTATTTGTCCTTAAAATTAATTAATTTTTTCACGTATATTAATATATATTTTTATTACACTATTTAGTAATTATTTGGATATATTTTCTACTAATAACTTATAAATTCATATTTATAAATTTAAAATAAATAAATAATTTTTATATATAGATTATCTTATTTATAATTTTTTTTAATAATTTAGAATGAAGATAATATAAAATATTACTACCTCTCCGTACCGTGTCTGCTACACTGTAGACACGATATTTTAGGAGGGGTGTAATTAATAGATAATTAAGAATGTGTCAGTGAATATAATTATCCTATAATATAAATAATTATAAATTAAGATTAAGATAACTAATTAGTTTAATTTAAAATATAAAAAAAAAATTAAAAAGTTTAAAATGAGATTAAAATGTATAATCATTTTTCAAAAAGGAACGTGACATTAGGACGGACAGAAACGGCAACGTGGGACGGAGGGAGTAATATTATTTATTCATTTATATAGTACTCCGTCCGTCATTCAAATTTATTCACTTTTCTTTCTTCGTTGTCATCCAAATTTATTGTTGTTTCTTTTTTTAGTAAAAAAATACCACTTTTCTTTACAAAAAAAAGTAAAAATTTATATTCTTACATATTTTTTTTAAAACCCGTGTCGTCAAATGAACACAAAATTGGATGACGGAGGGAGTATGTTTTATCGCATAATATTTTTATTAAAAATAAATATATTTATTTAAAATTATAAATTTAATGTAATTATATATTAATCAAAAATTAATCTAATAAAAATATATACTAATTATTTTTGTTCTTTTATATTTATTCTATTTCTAATGAAAAATATATATATTTTTCAATAAACTTGCATTAATTCTTTACAAAATATATTAAGAATAATAAAAATAAATATCTAAATAAATTTTTTCTAATCTTTAAAATTAATAATAAAATTCTAAAAAAGTTTACCCATCGAAAAAATTCAACTAAATATATTGAAAATAACATATAAAATGTCATTTACTTATAAACAACTAATATCAAAAACTTTAATACAACCAGCTAATCGAATCAACTAGTCAAAACAACTAATTGAATCAGCTAAAAGCTAATGGCTAATCAAATTAACTAACCGCTAACAACTATTAGCTAATTGTTAAACACACCCTTAGTTTTCAATCTATGTCAATTATCATGTTTATCGTACGTGTTTTAGTAACTCTCACATACTTACCTTACAATAATAATAATAATAATAATAAAATTCTTACTTATACCAGACAAAAAATCAATTCTTTTTGCAAATTACAGGATCAAAATATAGGTTAAAAACTTAAGGAATAAAGATAATAGTGGATATTAAGCACAAAGACTAAATTTGCAATGCCCCTATGTTTACTAGACTAGATTTAACTTAAAAATGAAGCTAGAGTAATTTAGGTTCTCTAACATAACTCCATCAATGAGGTCTTAGGAAACTTTTAAAAGCCCACGAAATATGTCTGCACATGTTACGAATGTACCGAACAAAGGAAGTTTATATCAGTTGCAATGTAAGAGGCAGGCAAAGTTCATAAACACTTTTATTAAAATTACAGCTACTTCAATTCAGAGTGTGCAGCCAGAGAGATTCGTAGCGAGTACCGTATAAATTCCATCTTAGCCGGCTGGCCAGTTCATTTGACGTCCCCCAAGCAGATGGATGTGAAGATGGTAAACGGATTGACCTACACCAGAAATTTTGATTCCACGATTAGATAAAGAAGAAGGGGGGGGGGGGGGGTGTTAAATTGCAAAAGCTATGGCAAAAGTTGATGCATACATCCTTTTGGCCCGTCGTTGATCACAAGCCTGTAGCCATCCTGAAGACCTTCTTGTTCTGCAACAAGCTTGGCTGTGTGAAGAAGACGGCCAAGAATCTCATAGTGTCTCTCCTCTGCCTACAAGGTTACAGAAGGGTAGCAAACATCAGCTTCCAGTAGTGTGAATTGTGTATTTTGCAGAATGATCGTAAAAGAGTATAGAGGGAGACATAAAAGGACAGGATATTACTACCTCCGTCTCACCTTATTTGTCCTTTCCTTTTTAAGAAATATAATTATACACTTTAATCACATTTTAAAATTTATAATTTATAATTTTTTAATCTTAATTATACTATTTAATTATCTTAATTTTAATTTATAATAAATTAATTAATTACTAATTATACTTTACCTAAATTTCTGTATTAAACCAGACACAAAAGATGGGACGGAGGGAGTATTATTATTGGGCAACATGACCAGGTACTTGATATTAACAATCGAGAGAGCAATTTCTTCGTCATAACAACACAATAAAGTGTCAAGCCACAGCCATGGGACACGAAATTGTAATCATTGGGTAAACATGACCAGGTACTTGATATCTAACCAATAGTTCATTGCTTTTATACAAGTTCAACTCTGGTTTTCTCCGTGAAAATGACTCTAATATTCAAAATCTGTATGAATACCTAAATGAAATATCTGTACTAATCAATGCTTCATAAACAAGGCAATAACTCTGCAAATACAATTCTCAAATTTAAATGATTTTGTTCAATAATAGCTGTAGAGCTTTAGTTCGACTGTACAATTTATTATACATACCAAGAAATTGACTTCCCTAGCATAAAATCGTGGTAGACGTGTCCATCACCTCATTAGAGGTGGGAGTTCAATCTTTCTTACATACATGAATATGTTTTTACCCAAAAAAAGAACACCAGGACTGTTGTGTCTAGATTTTATCGCATTATGTATAGAAAATTATCATAGCACTATATCTATGAATGATGTATGCGATTTATTAGTTGTTAAAAATGGAAATATACGATTACTTGAATAAAAACTTCTCAAACATTTCAGGCAGAAAATAAATTAACTTCTAGCTAGCTTTAGAGTATAACCAAACCAAAAAGTTGACCTTTGAGAATGTAAATTTTAACTAATAGACAGAAGGATCCTACACTTAGTTATCTAAAGAAAGTTGATTAACGGGAACACTGTTTAAACACTTAATCTAAACCTTCCAAACTCAAGGAAAAAATATATAACAAGAATTATATGTCAAGCTATAAGGCTTCAATTTCGTGGGGAACTGTTAGTGAAGTAACAGATATAAATGTTTGAACATTACCAGGCTTAGCATGAATAATCATTAACAGCAGTAGACCAAACCTCATAGTTCATCAAAACTAACAATACCAAGCCCGCAATCACAACCCAACTAGACAAGTTTCTTGGCAAGAAATTGAATTTATGACTATGAAATGTACCTTAGAAATTCCAGTAAGCCCATCCTTTACTTTAGGTATGATTAGGATGTGAACTGGTGCTTGAGGAGATATATCCCTGAAAGCTAGAACCTGCTATGGAACAAGCCAAACTTCCATTATTTTTAACATTTATTAATTTGACGAAGGTCCAGCACACAAACAGAGTAAAGCCTCTCAGAAAAAAAGCTGAAAATAAGATCTTAATTTTTAAAATTCAATGGTGATACGGAATTTGTAAAACAAGCTCCCATGAATGCACGATCTTCAATCCATCATTTAAACACAATATTAACCATTAACGAACAGGTACCCAAAACATAACTACTTGAAGATTAAACCACTTTCAGCAAACAATAATTTGATAAAGAACCATATTTACCGCACAATAAATTAATATGGAATATCATTCATTGTAATCACAGTGAACTAATCTACAGTGACACTGTAGCATGAATTCATGACATAAAAGACAGTTCAATCATGATGAATATCAGTAAGGGGAAAAGAGCAAGTTGATAAAAAAAAAAAAAGAAAAAAGAAGAAAGCAAGAACAAACAAACGAGCAACTTGTAAATGTAAAGGCAGTTTAGACCAATCTACCCCCAATTATCCGGCAAAATCTTATGGTTGACTTCCATTGCAAAATTACCAGGAATTGGTCGTTTCAATCATCCCTCAAGAAAATCCATAGATCCATACAATTAGGTTGAAAAAAAAAAAAAAAGGGGAAGGATTTAGCTCGATTTCAGGAACGCAATTAACTTGGCCCTAATTCAAAAAACCAAATATCAAATTCTCCACATATAACCTACAAAAATCGAAATCAAAAGCACACAAAACGACCTTTTCATCTTCGTACACAACGGTGGATGGTATTTCCTTGTTAATTATCTTATCAAATCTGCACGTCACCAACAGCAACGATCAGTGGAATCAGTGAAATAACAAGAAGAAACAGAAAGAGAGTAGGGAAAGAAAATTGACATGGTAGGAGAATCAGAAGGAACGGCAGCGAGAGCAGCCTCTTTCTCGGAAGCCATAGCCCTGAGACTGAGAGGAGCAGCAGTGAGCAAATGAGAAGTGAGCACTCCTAGGCGGCCACTGCTGGTTTTGAGTGGTTCGCTCATGCCGTTGCCCTTTCCTTTTTCTACCCTTTTGGGCTTAAAATTATTTCCGTTTTATATGTACTAATAAAATATTGAATTTTTTTTCAAATATATTATATCAAAATATCTTGTTATTGATTGAAAAAAAAAAAAAAAAAACACCAAAGAATTTTATATTCAATATTATATTGTATTAGATTTATGAAATTGTTTTTATACTATTTTGTATTAAACTAAGCTATATAATGAAACTGACCCATGTATATTATACATATATATATATATATATATTTAATTTGCTACTTTGTGCTTTGGTAAAACTTGCTTTCACAAATAAAATTCTAGATACTTATGTTATATTCAAGATTGCAGTATGATTGGGAGATGATCAAAATATTAATTTTACTATTTAAAATTGTAATACGCATATTATTGGAGAAATTTTATACCATCATAATATCAAATAATTATCGAAATATAAAATTCGATATCAAAATAATTTATCAGAATTAATATAATAATCAATAATAATTTATCGAAATAAATTCGATAATCACGACAATTTTATTGAAATAAATTCGATAATCAATAATAATTTATCGAAAATTTATCAACATAATTTTGATAATCACAATAACTTTATCGAAATAAATTCGATAATCAATTTATCAAAATAATTTTGATAATCACAATAATTTAGTTTTATCGAATTTAATAATTTTATCAAAATAATTTTGATAATCACAATAATTTTATCGAAATAAATTCGATAATTAATTTATCAAAATAAATTTGATAATCACAATAACTTTATCGAAATAAATTCGATAATCACGTCGAGTTGAGGTAGAACCTTTTTCCGTAAAAACGAAAACGCCCTGGTAGTGTGGTAGTGCCTCCGGTTCGTGGCGTAACGTTCCCAAAGATAAAATGACGTTCGTCTCCGAATTAGGTGGCACCCTAATATTTCGGAGCTCCGGCGAACTAAAATGAAGAGAATACGAGAGAAGAGATCTTTCTTGGTTCTTATTTTCTCAAATGAGATGCACAACACTCTTTTTATAGGCACCCCACGGATGTAACGGTCGAAGATTAATTGCATGCCAATAAATTGCAAATAAATAGCAATTTTGAAAACTTACACACGTAGCAAACATGTTCATGCAATTTAATTTGCATATAATATCATGCACGTGTGTATAAACTCAACCAAAAGTTTTTGCATTATGCATGCAATTATATTTTATTCATGCATGCATACATGCATTTAATTTGAGACTATTTATTGGTATATAAATTTAATTTCTTGGGTTTTAGATTTGACAAAAAAAATATTTGTCATTTCAATTAAACTTCGGAGCACAATGAACTATATTAATCCATTTATTTACCAAACTCAAGTCCAAGCACAAATCCACAACCATATTATCTGATTCGGGCATGCGGCGCGCGCCTACGACTACCGGTATTCATATGCTTAATAACCATTATATAGTCTATCTGCATTTCAACTCAGTGAATAATCGGTTTCAAATATTATGAATTTAATTTATAAATTAAATTCCATCGATTAAATAAATAACCAATTAACCGATTATCCAACACATATTCCATTGGTTTAAAAATAATTTAAATAAACTTGTGTAAAAGAAATTGATTGAATAAAAAATATATAAATAAAACTTGCTGCTATATATTATAAATGTAACAATATTTGCTAATTCCCTCTGTAAAAATAATTATTCGATGACAAAAAAAAATATATGTTGATATCATTTCGTTATTTTTGGATCAATCATCCCGATTGATTTGCTTATGATATAAGCTATTGATCGAATTAATAGTGAACTCTTATTGAGTATAGTAGATTTTGAGAGATCAACACCAAATTCGACATAAATATTCTCTAGCTCTTTCCGTACCAATAAAATTGTAAAACATAATAAATGCTAGAAAAACGGGTAAATAACATCAATCAAAATTTATTACGACAAAGATATTCTACATATCTCGACTTCTATTAGCAATCAAGAAGAATAACTTGTTTTTATCTATGATTTAATGTTTTTTTCTTTATTTCAATATTACAAACACCCCTGTATGATATCGATCTGAATTTATTGAAACAGAGATGAATGAAAATTTTGACTTTTGTATACATAATGTTACAGAAAACTTTTATTTACTCACAACTTAAAATTAATATTTTTCTTTTTTTTTATGTTGATACGCTGAAATTAACCATTACATATAATATTTTAACGAAAAATAAGGTTCATATAAGAAGTATATAGATTAAAGAATAATAAATAGTTTTTAAAAACCTAAAAAATAGTTTACAAATTCAATAAACTAATATTAAATAAATAAATTACTTATATAATGAAGTAATATGACTAGATAAAAATATATTCAATATTGAAAAGTTAGAAAAAAATATTCTGTAAGTATAGTCAATTATCACTATTGTTTTTTCATTGTCACCATAGCAAAATATATCATTTACGGGTCAAACTTTTACTATTTCAATACATTGACCATGCATTAATTTCTATCATTCTCACAGTTTCCACTCTTACTGCATTTCATAGACTCTCTAGTAAAATATATTCTTGGCATGTCACACTCTAGCAAAATATATCATCAACAAGTATCAATTTCGCTAAAAATAGCATCTAAATATTTTATATTATCCAATATTGTGTCATGTATCATTCAATAGCAGCGGGTGGATTTGACAAGCTGCCAAACTCATCCGTTGTCAATGTACTGAAACAAAAAAAAATTTGACGCATCCAATATATATTTTGTTAGAGTGACAATTAAAATATATAAGTAATATGCATATACATGATATTTTTTTGCAATTTTTTCTATTTAATACATTAGGTCATTCTAATCCTATGCTTAATTTCATTATACCAGAAAAGAATTACCACACTATTGAAACTAATAATCTACTTTCAATAATTTAAAGAGAAATCCAAGTAAATATTAAGAGATAACAATAAAACAAGTAAATATTAAGAGATAACAATAAAATCTTCTGCAAAGGGCATTACAATTAATTTCTCACAATTTTTTTTTTTTTTTGAAAAAAACATTTAAGAAAGTTTAGGTAAGAATTAGTCTTCAATTGCAGACGATTTCAAATATTTAAGAATAATTTTATTTATTTTAAAATGATTAATCTAATTAAACCAAATATGATGTCACTTTCATACTCATTTCCAAGTAAAAACTCTCAACTTATAATCAGGCCCGTTCCTGGCTTTTTTGAGGCCCGAGGCAAAATTGAAATAGTGAGCCCCTAAATATATATTTTTATATTAACATAATAATAAAAATAATTTTACACATTTTTATTGTAAATGTTAAAATAAAATTAATTTTTATATATTGAAAGATCAAAATATAAATAAAATTAATGTGGCATTTTTTAGTTTAATATAAAAACTCCAAAAAAAAATATATGATTTAATATTTTATAAAGAATTTTTTTTATAAATAGTCAAAATCTTTTAAAAGAAATTTTCAAACAAAAGTATTATTTAGGGTGTTTTGTTTTGTATTTTGGTTTGAAGAAATTTTTTTGGTATAAGGTATAACAAATTATGTAAATAATAAAAAAATAATTAGCTCTGTTTACTTATAAGATTTTACTTTTGATCTTACTTTTCTAAATTTATTTTTTCTTCAAAAATATCAAATCAAACACTCAATTTTCATTTATTTATTATACTAAAAGCTAATTTTACATTTAAAACATTGCATCAATACATATTTATATCACTTCAAACATCTATTTCAATTCCAAATTTTACTATTCAAAATCAAAACTCAAAATCAAAACCTCTCAAGTAATATATTAATTTTTTTGAAAAAATGTACTGAAATTTTTTTGGTAAAACAATAAACCTATTATATAATACACAATTTTTAAAATATATCACCAAAACATATAATAGAATATACAAATTTAAATATATAACCATAAAAATAAAAATATAAAAAACACACAAAATATTATTCTCTATCATATCTTCATAATTTTACATAATTCACCACCAGAGGTGGAACCAGACCAGGATGAAAGGGGAGCTAATTTTTAAAATTTTGAAACGATCATCATCTATTTGTTATTCAATAATTTTATCAATAGAATTATCATATTTCGAAAATCTTGCAAAATATCTACATTGACAACTGCATATTACAAGATGAATTTTGTATTATATGAAGTTGATAAATAATAAAAACATTTATTAAAAAAAAAACTGTTAAAAATATCATTTTATGTGTATTTGGTTGAGAAATTTTTGAAAATTTTTTTTTAATTATTATTTATTACTTTTTTGTTCATATCTATTTTTATATTATCAAAAAATTATTATGATATAAATTTTTTTATTATTCAAAATTTAAATTTTCACATAAATATTCTATCAATTTTTTGCAATTTTTTAATTAATTTATTATTTTTTATATTATATATTATAAAATAAAAACAAAAAATTAAAAATTATAAGGAGGTGGAATGGGGGAAGGGGGGCTCCCCTTTCCCCACATACATTTAAATAAACACACTAAAACATATAAATAATTAATTAAAAAATTAATATAAACATAATTTATTAAAAATATATTATGAAATAAATTTTTTATTTAAAAATTAATTTTATTTATTCATTAAAACATTTAACAATAATAATATATATTTATATATTAAGTATATAAATATATAATTGGAACTCCTATTGGGCTCTTAGAGAAAATGGGCCCTGGCCAGGGCCGGGCCTGCTTATAATCTATAGTACATACATAGGTTTCAATAAAAATGCATAGCAACAATGAACATATACAATTTCACTTGCTAATTAACTTGCTTATAATTATAATAATAATAATAATGATAATTTAGTTTACTAAGGTAATATAAATCTAAAGATATAATTTTAGTATTATCTTTTTTCATTAATTTGACAGATAGAAGGGAACATATGAAAAATATTATTTGATAGTATTTACTGAGTTTCTATTTTTGATTATACAATCTAT